TGGGTGGAAGGGAGGTGGCTGGCAACACAGTGGTGATGGTGGAGGAGGTGGGGGCGGTGGGTGGAAGGGAGGTGGCTGGCAACACAGTGGTGGTGGTGGTCGTTGGTGAAAGTGAGGTGGCTGGCAACATGGGATATGCTTCAGTGGTCAACCCTATCTCTTCTGTAGGCAGTTTATTCTTAAAACTAGTGAAGCTTTTCTTGTTGAATAATTTAGCAGGTACTAATTGTTTAGTGAAAGAATATCTCTCCACTATATCAACACATATGCATTCACATACTTCCTTTGCTTCAGCCATGAGCATCTTTGAAAGATTCTCACAGTACTTTGAGTTTCTTATTTCTAAAATAACAGTTTTGAAATTTGTTATATATTCATGTACTTTAAACACATCAATTTCTCGAGACTGCATTTGGTTGTAAATTACTTAAACATGAGGCATGATCTAATGAAAAAGCTCCAACCAGAACATGAATTTTTCATTATTCAGGTAGTGCAAAATTCCTGTTTCTTCTGAAATGGTTCGATCTGCATTTACCGTCGACTGGATTTCAGCAAGGCGGCTTTTTAAAGGTTGCAAATTTTCATGAACTTTGTTCACGGTCCGTATGTTAAAGTTCCACCTTGTAGAGGATGGGCGCGGAATGCTGACGTTCATATGCTTATTGAGAATGGATACATGTTGTGGTGATCTTGAGAAAAATGTTGGTATAGCCAAAACGTTAGAGAAAAATATTCTTGAGTCCCGCGTAATACTTGCTGCATTTCTCATTATCAGATTCAGTTGGTGCTCATAACAGTGAATGAAATGTGCATTATTATAAACTACTGTACTTTTATTTTTGCCCGAACGCCCCCTTTTTTGCCTTTCATGACATTTGCACCATCAAATGTGTGAGCTATCAGTTTTTGTCTCTTTCCTTGAAGGATTATATCTAACTGCTCTAGAATACATCTTGATATGCCATCTGCAGTTTGATTTTCTGGAATAAGGAATCCCCCAAAACGCTCAAATATTTCTTCATTCAGCACGTACCGTAGAACAATTACCATTTGAGTGTGTTCTGAAACATCTGTTGTGTCATCAGCCATGACAGCTACAAATGAAGCTTCTTTAATCTCTTTCTTTATCTCATCATGGTATATCTGCAGCAGGCAGTCAAGTATCTCATTCTGAATAGTCATAGAAACACCTGTGAAGACTGTACTTATTTCTAAATGGTTCTTTAAATCTGGGTCTAATGTAGATGCAAAATTTATTAATCCCCTAAATACACCTGGATTTACTGAATCATCTTTTTCATTATGTCCACGTAAAGGAATTTCAATGTTTCCACAAAATGTAATGCAGCCTATTATCTTGGATAAAATTTCACGGTTCTTGGTAACCTTCCTGTTATGCTCATTGATCGAAAGTCTATAGGCTTCACTATGTTTTTCTTTAATATTTACGCCTCCTAAAGTGATAGTGAAACCACGCTTTCAATATACTTCTTTGACTTTTCATGTTTTTAGGTTTTTTCTTTCATTTTGTTTTTATTTCTAAAGCCGTCTTTTGTCCAAGTTACATCACTTCCAATTCCAAACAACAAACACGGAAAACAAAATAATGTATCGCTTACTTCACAACCACAGAGCCAATTTTTCCTTTGGTACCGTTCTGAATGAAAGCTACGAATATACCTCTTACTGTTACTTATTCCTGGCTGAGATATTTGAATATCAGGTGAGGGACGGCCTCTTGTCTTCATAGCAACTTTCTCATGAAGAGACAACTATGAAAATTTAAGTTGTTGAAGTTCACTCACTGTCACAGAACTTGTTTCTTAGGAAAACAAGGAGGCCATGTTTAATTAATTCAAATTATTCTACACAATAACGTTTCTGGAAAAAACAATGAATACAAAATATAGTCTCTATGAGTATGAATCATACCCATCATCCTGTGTGGTGCTTACGCGCCGTCTGCTATATCAAGAGTATTTGAATGTGATAAATTGTGGATGATGTGATATCACACTGTATGATATCACATCATCTACAATTTATCACATTCAAATACTCTTGATATAGCAGACGGCACGTAAGCACCACACAGGATGATGCGTAAACACTACGTCCCACACTGATAACCAGATCGGCACTGAGTGAGCCACAGTACTCGCCCCCGCTTGCCTCCAGGACATGCGTGAGACAAAGCAAACGCCCGTTATTGGAACTGTCGAGTAAGACAGTTCCACATACAGGGATTTTTGTTGTTTTCTCAGAATTAGAGGACGGCCATTGACATAAAGTTTAAGGATTATTGATAATAGTTTTAAATATCTTGTACAAGTACAGTGATCCCTCGGTTAACGAACGCCTCGGTTAACGAAATTTCGGTTAACGAACTGCCTTCCATAAGAATCTTCAATTCGGTTAACGAATTTCTTACGAATCGACCTCAACATGTTTTCGCTTGCACTGACCGGGCAACCAGCTTTAGTATCAGTCTGCCAATACATTAATCGGTTCTAGGGCTTAAATTCCTTACTATTTTAGTAAATATCAAGAAGTTTATACTATTCAATAATTTTAAAAGTTTAATATTCAATTTTTTAGTCATTTTAACAATTATTGAACATAATTGAAGGTAAAGTGACTAGTTTAATGCGCGGCATCCAGCCTCTTAACACAGCAAACAGGAGTTAGTCTCTCTCTGTTTTCAGTGGAGGTAACATCTTGCTCGAGACTCTCTTCAACTAAACGCTTTTTTTCTGTGTTTCCAAGCAAGTTATTGGTCATTTTGAAATATATTTTACATATTGACAATATATAATGCAGTGCAATGTTGATTTAAAGAAAATAATCTTGAAATACACCAAGAGAACTAAAATTTTATGGGTGAAATGGTGCCATGGGGTGACTTCTCTTCCACCCCAATGTCTTCTCTTCTTCCTCTCCTCCACCCCCTTTCTAATTCCCATCATCATCATCATCATCCAGGAGCCTTCTACATACACACCTCAAAGTAAGTTAACTTTTCTACCATTTTTGTTGAATTTAGGCAATTTTCAGTGAGCTGGAACCAATTACCCAAAAACCCATTGAAACAATGGTTTCGGTTAACGAACTTTTCGGTTAACGAACAACCTGCTGGAACGGGTTGAGTTCGTTAATCGAGGGACCACTGTATAAATAAATAAACATATATGATATATTATATTACGGTATATAATACATATATATCGGGTGAAATAGGGGGTGCTGCAGTTCCACAGTGCCTACCGACGAGCTGCCACTGAGTATACCTCATGGGCCTTTGTCAAAAATCTTCGTTCATGATGTAATTTTGTTTCGGAAAAGAATGGTAAAGATAGTTTTTTTTTTACTGAGTGTACAACTGCTACATTCTAAGAATAGAACAGAAAAATTGTCTCAGGAATATTATGATTTGAAAATCAGATGTGCTAAATTAGAAGAAGAGAAACTAAAGAAGCAGTTGCCTTTAAAGAAGAAAAGCACAGGATGAAAAAATAAAATGCATAAATACAGTGGGGTATGCTATAACGAACGTAATTGGTTCCAGAACCTCGTTCGTTATAGCATTCGTTCGTTATAGGATTAATCCGTTCCAGGCCCCCAAATACAACCACTTAACACTGGAAAAATTCTGTGGAAAATGTAAAAAATACGGTACTTTATCTTACCTTAGTGTTATTCAGCATGCAGGTACCCCTAAACACTGGCACATCACTATCACTTCCACTGGGAGTCTTGGCTTTAAGGTCCTCAAACAATTGTCTGGCCTTCTCACAAATTATAGCTTCACTAATGTTACCACCTGCCATTTCTTTCTCCTTTATCCACACTAAGAGTAAATTTTCCATCTCTTCAATCACATTACACGTTGCTTTGCTAAGTCTAAAGATTCCCTTAGCCACTTACACAGTTTTTAACTCCTCTTTATTCTTCAAAATCGTACATATAGTCGATTTAGCCATCCCATATTCATCACTAAGTTTCGCAATGCTTCTTCCATTCTCACGTTTCTTTATAATTTCTTTCTTAGTTTCAAGGGTTATTAGCTTTCTCACTCGCTTTGGATGACTCATTGTTACAATTGTATACTTGTATAACAAAATAGTTATACAAATAACGCGAATTTCCACATCAAAAGACGAAATTTCAACAATAACAGCGGTGCACAATGAGACAAAGATGGCGCCTGTTGTGGGTCGCGGTACAACAATATTCATGCGCCAGGCAAAATAGTCCCGTATTCATCCGCGTTCGTTGTAGGAGTTGCGTTCGTTATAGCATTCTCAATTTTATAAGTAAAACCGTTCGTTATAGGAATATTCGTAGTACGATCCGTTCGTTATAGCATACCCCACTGTAAGTAAATATGATCTGATTGATATTGTTTTCTTAACAGTATTTCACATTTGTAATTTAACTAACAAAAATATGGAGTCCTTTGTCATGTGAAATATCAAAGTTTATGTTCTATAGACTACATATAGTATTTAATATGTTTTCATTTCCAGAACTCAACATAATTTTCTTTTTAATGACATGAAACTGTTTAATTGTATGCTAATTTTTCATAAGGAATGTGGGATTTGCTTTGCAGTTCTAATATACAGTATAGGTTAATGGTACAGTATTATGTATTCATTTTCCACAAGACATCTGATACAAGTTCTGTAATTTCAGTATAATATAACATTTTGTTTTACCTTATTCAAATTGGACAATCATTTTTGGAAGTTAGTGCCTATTGTCCATTAGAAATTGGACCATAATTTTCTATCTATTACAAGATACAATATAACTATAGATTCCTGTACTGTAATCTAAAATATTGTGCCTTCCATACAGAAGTCTCACCATAATTATATAGGGTAATTCTTTGGTGACATGTTCATTATTACCTTACATTAACCATTACTATATTACAGATTATTGTTACTTAATTGCATATACTTTTCAAGGGTTAACAGGGAAATGAAATGAGATGATTTTTATTCCAAACTTTATGGAGACTAATGTATGTTATTACAAAGATGAATGCTGCAAATATATTTGGACAGTCCCCCCCAAAAAACTATCGTTAGCCATGGGGTCAATGTGATTTGAGGCTTTCCAAAAAAAGTTACTCGATGTACAGTACTGTGTTTCTTAACGGATGGTAGTTTTACATTCGCGACCTTTGAGTATGAATGGGTAGATACGTTTGCAAACGATGTGAATCCTCCGAGGCTTCAGATCATATATTTCAAGACTCGGAGTGGATGTCGTAAATGGATACCAATGTCATGCCAGTCATCAATGGGATCTTACATCAAATGGAGTAAGAAATTATTGGGAAGATATCACAAAAAGTGAGAGGGGCTATCATTGCCCTTAACAATGAAGGTATACATAATGCTGAAACAGAGTTGAAAGTAAAGAAGTAAATATATTTGAGTACTGTATTGTACTGTACTCCAATAAAAATTTTGGGTAGAGTACCTTACATGGGCATCGTAAATGAAGTTTTCCTCCGACCATTCACATCAACTCATCCTTTTCACAGTGAATCAGCTCCTAGAAAGAGAGAAAAATTGAACAAAGTATTAAGATTGTGGAACTCTGAAGTGGCAAGTTGTTGAGGTAAACACTTGTTGGCCTTTTCTGAATTTATTGTTTATACACACTATGTACACTGACAAGACCTGAGAGGTTACTCTTAGTTAAGTGGTACACTTCCCTGTTCAGTGGTTGTGAGCAGAGAGAGAGAGATCGGTCAACTTGGTGATCGAACATGATTAGCTGAGCCAGTCCTGTGACACATGGGTGCCATGTTGTTACTGTAATACAGGTGAGGAAGGATTTGATAGTGTGGCCGATTACTGTCGTTAATTTAACTGTTAATATATATTCTTAAGGGGAATTTTCTAAACACAAATTTTAAGTACAGCTATTTATTCATTAACTCAATGGCATGGACACATTAATAGGTTATTGTATCAAAGTTACTAGACAATGACTCTCAGACACAAACAAGAAATGGATACACTTCCCACCTTAAGTAACTCACACTAATGGATCACTTTGACAATGACTCACGAGTGTCCTGAGGTGGCTGGGGAAGCTGCAGGTGTTGCTGAAGAGGGTGCCAGACTATGTCTCCTATGGGAGACTCTGCTAGCTGGAGCTCAGTGCTGGGAGTGGGGAGCTTGGGAGGGAAGTCTCCCTCTGAGAAGGAGCTGTCAGCCCCTTCCTTGTTACAATAATAATCCAAATCCTAATGGGAGAGAGCTGCACGGCCCTTATATTGGAGATCCCCAGCCCGAAGATGTCGTCACTAATCTGGGTGTGTCTGGTCAGGTGACAGGTGTACTGGCTGGAGGGTAGCTTCTTGAGTAATGCGGTCAGGTCGCCGTGTTAGCTAACGATGTGGCGGTGAGAACTCTGGGTCAGTGAGTTCACGACCTCTCTTGGATCAGGTCTGGACAGCTGTGTTTCCCAGGTGCGTGGTCATGTCACCAGTCAGTAATACTTCCTAACTACTACCACCCGGGTGTGTCTTGGTCAGGTGAGTTTCTGTAACACAGTCTTAACGCCGGTTTAACTCAGGTACCTTATGGCCATCAGCTCTCCTGGGTCAGGTCTTACTCTCACTGTAGGGTGTGTCAACCTATGTGGGTTACCACGTGGGCATCTACTTACTGTTATGTGTCGTACCTTCTGGGCTGTAAGCTATGGTCTGATAAACAATCATTACACCTCCCGCCAAGACCAAAGCTTCCATACCAGAGAACTGATGACACATATAAGACAGTAATATCATGTGCAGTATCAAGAATAGCCCCTGAGGTGATAATGCATTCTTACATATTTACAAACAATAACCTCATAGACACTGGTATGTATGTTTTTATACTAGCTTGGAGAAGTTTACATTGGTTCTGTAGAAGATGATGGTGATGTTTATTCGGTAAAGTTTTCATTCAGGTTTACAATTGGAAATGCATGTTTATAAATTATGCAGTTATACAGTTCAGCATGACTGTAGTCAGTGTAGGTACAGCATTCCCTTGCAATTTGAAGCCTTCGATTATTCACAGATGATACCCTGGATGTACCCAAGAATGAATGCAGGTACTTTTAAAGTTGGCGGCATGTTCGCGGCCGGGACAGGGAGCGTATGAGTTTTGTGGCATCCCGCAAGGTGTCTCTGTTATCCCAAGTGACTGGACCATGTGCCCACTCCGCCTCAGTCCAGGATAAATACTTGTTCGTCTCGCGTGTGTGCTACTCTGCTTTCTTATGTGTGTGACCGGGGAATGCTATCTCTAGACCACCAGGACACTAAAAACATTCCTAGACTTTGTTGTATTTCACACAAAGCCTGTTCATCGAGCTTATGGCGCCGCGAACCTCCAATTGGGGAATACCCGTGCCTCTTAGGTGATCAGAGTAACGTTTTACCAAATCCGGTTTTGGCGCCATAAGCTCGATGAACAGGCTTTGTGTGAAATATATCATTTATTTTTATTCATTTACATGCACACACCATACTAAAAGAAACGTAAAAGAAATAAATGACCTAAGTGCAAACCTGTACTGTACATGTACTAAATGATTACGGTACTAAAATTTTTATGTCTAGTGCGAATTATAGCTTGTTTATATTCAAATGAATCACTATCTTACAAGAATCCCAGCAATGTAAATTAAATTCTCCCAGGTCATTTCAGTGGCATTTTTTAAGAGAAAGGCTTAGTCTTTCTTAAGGACTGATAAACAAACACACATTAGACCTTCGGCTCCAACTGTCAAACATCTCACCTCACCTCCCCCTCCCTCCCTCCCCCTCCCATCTGCCCAGCCAGGGTTTTAGGCTTATAGTTTTTATCTTATAAAATATCACAGACTAAAGTTAGGAGAATATAATTTGTGTTGCTGGAATCTTTGCAAGACAGCGAATAATTTGAATATAAACACCATATATTTTGCACAAGAGATAAAAATTAATCACCTGTATAACATTACAGTTGTGATTTAAGAGTTATATATATATATACATAAATATATATATATATATATATATATATATATATATATATATATATATATATATATATATATATATATATATATATATATATATATATATATATATATAGTGATTTAAAGGTGATTTAGGGGAATTTTAGGAGTGTTTCTGACTTTATGCATTTTTGGCTTTACTTTGTATGTACTTTTCTGTGAGCTGGAACCAATCGCCCAATATCCCATTGAAATAATGGATTCGGTTAACAAAATTTTCGGTTTACGAACGACTCTGTGGAACGAATTGTGTTCGTTAACTGAGGGACCACTGTATACTGTATTACACAATGTTGAAGATAGAACACAGCCTTGTCTTACTCCCTGAATAACTGTGAACCAATTAGTAAGTTCACTATTTACTAAACTGAAGCCTACACCTACCAGAGTGCGGCAGTCAAGTGGATACAGCGTTTGCCACCTGTTCAGGGGCTTGGTGGTTCAATTTCCAGGCACTCCCAGTTGACCCAGCTGTAAATGGGTTCCTGAGTAAGTGAAGGTGGTACTGGCCATGCTGCCTCCTTGTGTACCACAGGTTTATAAGACAGTGTGCTGAATCCACACTGTTCCTAATGGACAGTCATGTTTCTGGGACCCACTCTAACTTTCACCATTTAACCAGTTACCCCACCCTCGAAGCACAAAGAACACAACACCTACCCTCATCCAATTCTCCAGGAAGACGAGTAGATCCAGGTGATGAGATTAGTGATGGGTTGTGGGATAAGGTGGGGCTAGAGGTCACAGCTCTTATCATGATTAATTGCTTCTGGTGTTGGAGGGCTTCTCGTGTCTCCTGAAGCTCCTTCTCCAGGTTATCAATTTTTGAGGTTTGTTCTTGCACCTGCTCCTCAAATTCTGCCCGCACAGACTGCAGCTTCTGGAGAATGAAACTGTATTCTATACTCTGATCAATTCACCACTCAAGAGGTCCGAACTTACCCTCATTGATGCTTAATGGGATTGAGAGGCCAATTAGAATTAGGTCTGAGGCTTATTTGGCCATTCATCAATCACACAAGCTCTTAAAATTAACCAATCACACAAGATCTTACAAAACTAACCAATCACACAAGATCTTACAAAACTCACCAATCACACAAGATCTTACAAAACTCACCAATCACACAAGATCTTACAAAACTCACCAATCACATAAGATCTTACAAAACTCACCAATCACCCAAGATCTTACAAAACTCACCAATCACCTAAGATCTTACAAAACTCACCAATCACCTAAGATCTTACAAAACTCACCAATCACATATCTTACAAAACTCACCAATCACACAAGATCTTACAAAACTCACCAATCACACAAGATCTTACAAAACTCACCAATCACATAAGATCTTACAAAACTCACCAATCACAGAAGATCTTACAAAACAGAAAAAACAAGAGTATGCATTGAAACTTGATATTCACAAATCTAATAAGACAGATTTAAGTTATTTAAGAATAAATTTCTTAAACACAAGAACGTTATGTGACATTGTGGTAGTGGTGTGGCATTGGTAGTTTAATAAGGTGGTAGTTGTATGGTATTTGTAGTGGTGAGGCATATATAATGGCATAGCAGTGGTGTGGCATTGATGGCAAGGAGATAGTGGTGTGTCAATGGTAGAAGTCTGGAAGTGGTGTGACTCTGGTGTTGCAGTAGTGCGGTAGTGGTGTGGTAGAAGTGTGGTATGGTAGTACTGTGATATTAAGTGTAGTAATGGTGTGGTAGTAGTGAAATAGTGGTGTGGCAGTGATAGTACAGTGGTAGTGGTGTGGCTGTGGTGTGATAGTGATGCGGTACTGATGTGGCAATGGTTGTTGCTTGACAGTGACAGAGGTTACAGTGGTAGTAGTGGTGTGGTAGTGGTGTGACAGTGGTTGTGGTGTGATGGTGGTAGATACGTGACAGTGGCAGTGGTGTGACAATCTTTATGGTGTGGTAGAGGTGTGGCAGTGGTGCTAAATATGGTAGTGGTAAGCGGTAGTATGCGGTAGTAGTGTAACAGTGGTAGTAGTGTGACGCGGGGACAGCGAGCTTTCTTCGACATCAGGATTTTTTATCCCATGGCCGCATGTCACCGTAACTTAGCTCTCGATGCTGCACATAGGAGGAACGAGAATGAAAAGAGAAGCGCATATGGGGAGAGAATTCAAAACGTAGATCAAGGCAGCTTCACTCCTCTAGTGTTCACAACTTCTGGTGGGATGGGACCAAGTGCAAGATGTTTCTATGCCAGACTCACGGAGGTGCTATCCGAACAGAAGCAGCAGCCCAGAAGTTATGTTACAGCCTGGATGAGATGTCGACTGTCTTTCTCTCTCCTTCGGTCGGCTTTGCTCTGCCTCAGGGGAACGAGAGCTTCTGCCCCAATTCCGACAACTGCTGCAGATATTGACTATGAGGCAACAGTCACTGAATGCCGCATAGATCTGCGGCTCAACTAATTCAACACAGATGGGATAGCTACTTATGTATTAGGATATTTAATATTAAGGTAATAAAATGGTGGCGAAGGTGTGGCTATTGGGGGAGACTGGAGGCCACGTGTAGCAGTGGTAGTAGTGTGACAGTGGCAGTAGTGTGGCAGTGGTAGTAGTGTGGCAGTGGCAGTAGTAGGGGTGTGGTAAGGGCAGTAGGGGTGTAAGAGTAACATACATACAAAGTACTGTAATAGAACCTACATTAGCAAACAGGTCCATATTGGAGGTGGAGTGGGAGGCAAGAAGCTGTTGTTGACGAGTGATGCAACCTCGAAGCTTTTCCATTTGGAGATGATGCTGTGGTGGAGGAGGATGTTATAGTGGAGCATGTGGATAACAGTACTATGGTGGAGTTATAATGGAGCATTGTGGATAAAGAGGAATTAGTACAGCTTCTGATGGGGTGTTTGTCTGCAAATAAAGTACAGTACCCTAAATTTCTCTTTGAATTATGAAAGAAGATATACTGAAAAGTCAGAAAAATGTAGGGTGGACATGCAAGAGCCTGTCAATGTTGTCCTGAATTGGTTGATATCAGAACAAGAAATATTTACATTATGCTATATAAATTAAATACACACTTGAAATGGGTGATTACCTAAGTAGCAATGTCGGAGTTTATATTACAAAGTATAAAGTTAGGATATCCTACAATATAAATTGATACTCAAGGTTTGCTGATGTGGATGGAGGTCAGGAATTAATGGTTGGGATTAGTTAGTGAGCCCTCCCCGATGGCGGCCTTTACTGAAGGTGGGGAGTATTTTGACATTCAATGGTAGCTGGTAGGATGCTCGCACAGACAAACCAATGTAGACTCTTGCAAAACTATTATTTAAATCTGGAGTAATTATTTACAATTCAGGTACAGTAATATTTCCCTTAGCCAGAATCCCTCAAACCAGGAACTTTCCAATAGCCGGAAATGACATTTTCTCAGAAAATCATTCCCAAGCCGATATTTTCAGAAAATTACGGCTTTGGGAAAAATTTTCCGAGGAGCATATTTTCTGGAAAATTCTGAGAAAATTTTCCTGGTAACTGGAAAATTCCGGGGACGGGGGATTTTTATTTTGGGTTTGAGAGATGAAAATTGGGCACTTTCCAGAAATTCTAAGATAAAATTTCCATTACCCAGAAAATTCCGCTTTAGAATATCTCCTTTAATGCCATGAGCCTCCACTTTTCTTATTAAGTCTTTCATGGGGGACTCTGTCGAAGGTTTTGCTAAAGTCGGGATATACCACATCATAATTGTGCCCCTTGTCCACTGATTCGAAAAAAGATGAAAAGAAAGTTAATAGATTAGTTAGACATGAACGCCCGCTTGTGAAGCCATGTTGGGAATCATTGATCAACTTGTGCTTCTCCAGGTGATTTTGAATAGAGTTTGAAATGATTGCTTCCAGTAATTTGCCTACAATTGATGTTAGACTGATTGGACGGTAGTTAGAGGATAGTGATCTACGGTGAGTTCTGCTATAACGCGTGTTTTGATAACGCGAATTTGCTCTAACGCGATTTACGAATTAGGAACGATATTTGTATAACGCGAATGCTTGTTTGCTATAACGCGATTTTTGCTTACTATTTCTCCAATTTTGTGGTACAGTGGGGTATGCTATAACGAATCTAATTGGTTCTAGAACCTTGTTCGTTATAGCATTCGTTCGTTATAGGATTAATCCGTTCCAGGCCCCCAAATACAACCACTTAACACTGAAAAATATAATATAAAATTGTAAAAATTGTAAAAAAGTGCATAAATATGCATCTAAACCCCTGAAATAAAGAATATCATTAATATTTGTAATAAAAAACAATAAATTAGAAAAAAAAAATTAAATAATGTTCGTTTTAGGAGTTTCGTTCGTTATAGCATTCTCAATTTTATAGGTAAAACCGTTCGTTATAGGAATATTCGTAGTAGGATCCGTTCGTTATAGCATACCCCACTGTATTAACTGTGAATATAGTAAAGAAGAATATCAACAAGAAGCGTTCTGGTGATAGAATTCCCGGTGATGATCGTAAAAGAAAGGATATAACACTTGAAGAGAAGCTCGATTTTATCAACCTCAAAATCACCCTTCTCCCCCATCAAGTAAAGTGTTACATTTACTGTATGATTTCATTATTAGATATGAATGTAACATTTATTTAGACTGTGCTATCCTTTGTGTTAGGCTAACTACTAAATTTTTTCGATTTCGAGTAATCTGCACCTAACCCTATTTTCTCCATAAGCCCTGTTATTTCTATTACGCGATTTTCTATAACACGATATTTTACAACAACACAATTATCGCGTTATAGCAGAACTACCTGTATATCAATTTTTTCGATACATACCAAAGTCCAATGCCCTGATTTCATCCATTTTGTTTCTCATACTTCTACTGTTTGCGTAGTAGACAATTAAGTTAGTCGTGTTCTAAGTCCTCTTTTTGACCCGTTTAGGTTTCAACTCCCTGCCTAATTTAGTTTTGTCATCATTCCTAGCACTATTTCCCTGTAACCTTTCGCTTTGTTTACCCGCTCCCACTGCAGTCTCCTCCACCCCCGTGCTCAAATGTTCTCCTAGCAGCTTGAAGACTTCTAACTTAATTGGAACTGCATTTATGGACTCTGGTAGTTTAGACCCAAGGAAAACATCCCCAGCACCCAGAAACATTCTGGAGAAGTGGGCTAGTGTCTGTGTGTACAAGATGTTGAGTTTAGACACTCAGAAACTTTTCCCAGTAACCGGAAAAAATTCCGGGATAAGGAATTTTAACGGGTTTGAGAAAGTCGTCTGGTTGGCCAGAAACCTCTCATCCCCGGAAGTGCTCTGCACCAATTGTTCTTGCTAATGGGGATATCACTGTACTTATAAACACATACAGTACTTAACAATCATATGAACTTTAAGACAATACTGTACAGAGGATTCCCAACTTCATAAAGTCCGACTGATGAATGCCCCCCGATACGAACGAGGGTTAAACTGAAATTTACAATATTTTATAAATCTGATGGCTTATTTTTTACTTTCATTTACTGTATTTTGAATTCTATTTCTTCTTTTGTCTTAAACTAAGTGATTTTAGATATATGTAAAGACTTAGGCTACGATACAGTGGGATTTTAAACATTGTTCTGTAAGTACGGCATGCACATAACACATGTTCCGACTTAAATACATTTCCGACTTAAGAACGTCGTCAGGAACAGAACTCATTCTTAACCCGGGGATCCCCTGTACTTATAAACACATATTTGACAAATATATACAGTCTGTACAGAACATGTGCCAGGTGGTGGAGGATGGCTCACCTTCTTTTCTGATTCTTCTATCTTTGTCCTAAAGCTCAGTTGTTGATTATCTATTTGTTCCTTTGCTGCTTCCAGTTCCTTATTCTTGCTCTCAAGGTCAGTCAATATCTTCTCTTCCCTCCCTTTGGCTGTAAAACATTAGTGTCATATAGCAAGATCCCAGTCCTAGGAAGTTCATATCCAAGGATGCCCCAACCTAAGTCCCACTAAGTCCCAGTACAGGGGGTCCTCGACTTACGAGCATCCGACTTCTGAATGAGCACAGATACGAACGAGGTCCCATAAGGTCAATTATTTTTAAAATCTGGCATAAGTACAATGGTTTGTAGTAGCTACGTACGAGGACTAGTTTGCATGGCATTGGGGGGGAGGCAGAGCAGCGCATAGGGAGTGATGCATCACACCCAATCACCTGCCTTGAGGGAGCGGGAGTGTCAGTGTGCTTTACCCTCATCACCTAAACGTGTGTGATCAAGTGCAAACTACTGTTTTTGTTAATTAAATCCCCTTTTCTGCCCTCGTTATGACTTCCAAAAGCAAACCTGATATAAGTGATGGTAGTGCATACAAGAAAAGGAAAACAATTACAATAAAAGTGAAAGTTGATGTAATTAAACATTCTGAAAAAGGTGAAACACCCTCAGTGATCGGTAAGGCTTTGGGTTTCAGTCGTTCAACAATTGGAACAATTTTGAAAGACAGCGAAAATTCTTGAATTTGTAAAAGGATCTAGACCAATGCACCCAACTGTGAAAACAAAATAAAGAAGTGGATTGTTAATTGAAATGGAAAGATTGTTAATGATATGGGTGGAAGATCAAAATCAACGAGATTTGCCTCTAAGTCTAACTTTGATTCAGGAAAGTAAGAACTTTGCATCACCATGATGAAAATGACGAAAAGTGTCAGTTTAACCATCCCAATAAAGCCTCTGTCACTCCTACAAATGCCTATCTCCACATGCAAGCCAGTCCCAGGTTTCAATGTAAGTGTTCAACTTTAATTTTTGCTTTTCTTTACTGTATTTTGTCATTTAATTTCTTCTTTTCTCTTAAATTAAGTTATTCGAGATGTATGATACAGTGCACATAGGGTATGTGTTCCGACTTACGGACGGCCTCAAGAACAGAACCTGTTCGGGACCCCCTGTACTAGGAAACCCCAGTATCTAATAGATCCTAGTCCTTTAACCTGTTAAAACAACCTACAGTCCCTAGACTCAGTGAACACAGCCCCATCATTATAGCCCAAATAAAAATAGCCTCAATCATTATAACTCAATTAAAACAGCCCCCAGTCCATATAGCCAATTACAACAGCCTCCAGTCCCTACATACAGCTGAAACAGGTCCAAATCCTTAAAGACCAAATTAAAACAACCCCCAGTCGCTATAGCTACACATAAAACAGGCATAGTACTTATAGCCCAAATACAAACAGTCCAACTCCATACAGACCCTATTAAAATAGGCCTGGTGGGGGGATGAATAATCTGTACCTGGCCTGATGGGGGGATGAATAATCTGTACCTGGCCTGGTGGGGGGATGAATAATCTGTACCTGGCCTGGTGGGGGGATGAATAATCTGTACCTGGCCTGGTGGGGGGGATGAATAATCTGAACCTGGCCTGGTCGCACTCATCAGAACACACAATTTACACCACTATTACCTAACGAAATATCAATTTGTTCACAACTTTTCTTTTATATATATATTTTGCAAAATATGTACACTTTACAATGGAATAAAGTTCATATTGAAATCAAATGAAATAATGATGGTATTAAGTGATGTGGTATAAACGTTTTCACTAAACATAAACAAACATGATGTGTTCTACTCTGTTACGTATAGAAATAATTATTTTTCGTGATTACTTATATAAAACTGTTTGTAGATAATTTATTCACACTGCTAATGTAACAAAACCCATCTTTTTATCTCAAATAGCACTGAAAAAGCTCTCTAGTGATAAACAGTAGCAGAAATCCCAGGGTTGTAAGAGGAACGGAAACCTTGATTACCAATGAACCTGTGATTGGGAAAACAGAAGGAGGTGAATTGTTTTATGCCGGCAGGCAGGTGGTGATGGTGCAGGTTGTGGTGAGGACTGCTAAGAGGGTGATAATGGTGTTGTAAGTGGTGGCAATATGTTGCATGGTGAGATAGGACTGAAGGAGGGAGTACCAGCACTTTACCTCCATCTACCATGGCCTCAGTCAGTTAGTCAGATAAAACAGACTCCAGTCAAAGCTGACCCAGTTAAAACAGGCTCCAGTCAAAGCTGACCCAGTTAAAACAGGCTCCAGTCAAAGCTGACCCAGTTAAAACAGGCTCCAGTCAAAGCTGACCCAGTTAAAACAGGCTCCAGTCAAAGATGACCCAGTTAAAACAGGCTCCAGTCAAAGCCGACCCAGTTAAAACAGGCCCCAGTCAAAGCAGGAGAGGCCTACCTTTTTCCTTGTTGTGGTTGAGGGCCTTCATGAAACCCAAGTCAGCCTCCAGTTTTGCCGTCTTAGCCTGCTCCTTCATCTCCTCCAACTCTCTCTTGCTGGCCTTAAGAGATCTCCATCATTATATATTCCTCCTACAAGTCCATAGTTTCAATCCTAAATTATGACTCAATAAGCACAGTATTTAAAAAGAAACTATCTCTCTCTCTCTCCTTCTCTCACCCACACACAAACCTGCTTTAAATTGATGTTTTCTTGACTTAACTGCTTCACCATCTCCTCCAAGCGGTGTTTTTGATCTGCATGGTAAACAAAATTAACCCATTGAGTACGATGAGTAAACACCCTCAATACAATATCACTGACTGAACACCTAGAATACAAAATTATTGACTGTACACCCTAAGTGCAATATACTCAACAGCACACCCTGAGTACTTCACCGACTTACACCCTGAGTACAAAATGGGCCAAACTCACCGACTTACTCCCTGAGTACAAAATGGGCCAAACTCAAGAATTTATCAAAATTATGTACCAGTAAACCATACATCATTTTAAAGTTAGCACATTGAATTTTATGATCCTGCAAAGAAAATGGTTCCAAACTGTCTATGGAATGAGTGGCATGAAAAAATGTTGTAGTAAGTGGACGAAGAAAATTTCATGCTGAAATTCATTTCTTTATCATTATTTGTCAGCGTATTTATTTGTTTGTTATAAAGGTACAGCTCGCTAAACGACAGGGTTAGGTTCCTAAAAAATAATCGTGAGGTGAAGTATCGCAGATAAGGCGCATTATAACACAGGGTTCAATGGGATACGTTCCCAGCCAGTCCCCAAAAACAATTGTATCGCCAACGCAAAAGTTCCTACACTTATAAAATCAATAGAAAACAATTAACAACAATCACCACATCATGAAGAAAGGCCTAGTCATCATCACATGTCCCCTTCAAGACTAAGGGGACTCTTGTAGGTGGAGTGGAGATGTCACTCTGACTCCCACACAGCACTTTGAGTAGCTAATGATGTCATGTGACCTCATGGGATATATGTGATAGGCTGATGCATCTCATAGATGGCCCCCCACAACCCCAGGCTAGCATCAAGACACACTTAGTTCATTACTTCTTTGTCACCAGCCACTCTACAAGGTTAACCTATTGCTCGCTCCTGTTTTAGTGTACAGTTTGTTGTACAGTACTGTCCAATTACTGTACATAGGACACAATCTACAACACAAGGTGTAAGCAGTGTGAAGATGTGAACAGTGATTACAGTGTGGAATTTTAAGGTTAATTAACAGTGTGTGAACACAGTACTGTACATACACTACCTCATATAGCAGAGGCCACTGTTTGCATACCGCTCATTACTGTACCAGGACACACTCAAGTAAGTACTGTATTGTACAGTGTTAAGATGTGAAAAGAGATTACAGTGTATAATTTTACATTCTGAATTAACATTGTGTGAACACTACATACTCTAATGAGCATAGCAGTGGACAGTGTTTGTGTACTGTAGCATCAGTATCATCAAGTGTAGCGTAATTTCAGTATGTTCTGTACTGTGTTTACATGTATTACAATGCCGAATGTTACAGAGAAAACCCATGGCACCAAGGGGTCGAAGAAAAGCCCAGATGAGGAACCAAATGAAGCAGCGCAAGATCGGTGAATATTTCTCTACGGCCCCCAGGTGTCCTAGTGCTGTCTCCCCAGTACCAGTGGTGGCAGCATTTCTGATCCTAGCCCCAGCCCTAAACATCAGAGATAGGAGACCTACCACTATATCCATCACCACATGACTCATCACCACGACCCAGCACTTTGTCGGCAGTGGAAATCATTCGTGCCAGTCCTGACTTGCCTCTGTCATCCATGGAGGAAGAGGAGAGTGGTAGTTAACACCACCTGCCTGCCTCCATCACAAACTCAAAGCAACAGCATCTGTTGATGAGTTTTGTACTTTATACAAAATGTATTGTACATTGTACATTATTCAACAGCATAGTAAGTAAAGTATGTGAGAGCAGTATAAGAGATGTCATGATGGAACATCATCTATGAAACAACCTTGAAAAGGATAACCAAAACGGTTTTACGCCAGGACGCTCCTGTTTAACAATTACAGTGCTGTAATCATGGTATACTGGATGTTTGGACCAAAATTCTTAAACAGAATGGTAATATCGACAATATATACATAGATTTTGCCAAGGCTTTCAACAGCGTACCCCATGAAAGGGGTACAGTGTTGCAGGGAATGGTACAGTGTTGAAGGGGAAGGTACAGTGTTGAAGGGGATGGTACAGTGTTGCAGGGGATGGTACAGTGTTGAAGGGGATGGTACAGTGTTGCAGGGAATGGTACAGTGTTGCAGGGAATGGTACAGTGTTGAAGGGGAAGGTACAGTGTTGAAGGGGATGGTACAGTGTTGAAGGGGATGGTACAGTACTGAAGGGGATGGTACAGTACTGAAGGGGATGGTACAGTGTTGAAGGGGATGGTACAGTGTTGAAGGGGATGGCTTCATCTTGGCAGTAAACACCATCAGGTCCATTCGTCTGCCCTAACTCCTCAAACAAGTATATTTCTTGGTCTTCTCAACAAGTTTACCTCAAGATGCCAGTTTAAAAATAACAAAATAATAATAACCACACTATTTAAAAGTTTAATCAAGATATATGCACAGTAAAAGTATACAAAGCTTTAATGGTATGTACAGTATTATAAATAATTTTATCATTCTCGTCTCTATTAAAGACTCAGAACTATTTACTATACCTATAAGTGGCACCAGAGAGGCATAGTTGGCACCCAGCTCCCCCAGCTTCCTCGTCACATCCTCGATTAATGGCTGAATCTTCATCCACATGTGCTTGAACTGATCTCTCTCTGCCATCACCTTCACTAGTTCCTCATCCGTCATTGCCTTCTGGTGGCTCACTTGTGCCACCCGCTGTGAAAGAACACTATTAACAGTGCTATAATTACATGTGTTGCAAGTGTTAGCCACATGTCATAGTTATAATGGGGTGTTGTAGATATCATATAATGAAAGGTTTTAGTTATAATGAGGTGTTGTAGATATGGTGATATCCCCGTTAGCCGGAACAATTGGTGCAGAGCACTTACGGGAATGAGAGATTTCTGGGTAACGAGACGATTCTCTCGAACCCGGAAAAATATCCCTCATCCCAAAATTTTTTTGGAATTTTCCGGGTGACGTAAATGTTTTTCTTCGAATTTCCAAAAAATGCGACCGATTTTCATCTCTCAAACCCTGAAAAAAACTCCCCCATCCCTGTAATTTTCCGGGTTTCAGGAAAAATTTCTTGGAATCTTCCGGAAAATGTGCCCCTCGAAAAATCTTTCCCAAAGCCGGGATATTCCGGAAAATTACGGCTTTGGGAACGATTTTCCGAGAAAATTTCAATCCAGCTATTGGAGAGTTTCGAGTTTGAGGGATTCCGGCTAACGGAGATATTACTTATATAATGAAAGGTTTTAACCTGGGCACACACTAACCCAGCGATTTTCAACCAATGTGCCTCGAAGCATCCGTAGGTGTGCTGCGGAAGTTTAAATAGCATTTGGATACGTTTTGACATTACTGGTACTTTTATGGAGCTCATTAAACAAATTTTTTTTCAATGACGTAATAAATAAACAAATGTGTTGTTCATTAAAAGCCCAAATGGCAGTTTTAAATTATCTCCTTAAATCCTTAATTTCTTTTAAATGATCAAATCTATCTTTAAATACTGATGGTGTGCCTCGATCATTTTAGTGCCTGGCTCACTGTGCCGTGAGATGAAAAAGGTTCAAAATCACTGCACTAACCAATGCACCCGTTAACTTTCTTGTTGAAGGAGGAGAGAAGTGCTTGGTGAGAAAGGGAGGGTGGAAGGGAGGCGCTTTGTGAGGGAGTGAGGTGCTTGGTCAGTGTGGGAGGGAGGAATCTGAGGTACAAAGGAGAAATATGCAGCACAGCACAAGGGAGGATGATGGGGCAAGATAGAAAAAGTGAGTTGGGGAATTCTGTTGTTAAAGATTAAAGACTATGATAATGGTGATGCAGGCAGTAGTACATGATGGTGCCAATGGTATTAATGGTGTTAAAGGGATCCATTATAATGGTGCTAAAAGCAGTCATGACAGCTTGATGGGAGGGGGGGGAGGTTGGTATTTGATGCAAGTTGCTCATCAGAGAGAGAGAGGGGATTGAAGAATGAAGGAAGGGAATGATGGCTTTAAATTTTTCACTGTATTATCTCAGGTATTATCTCAGAGTAATAGATGAGGACTCTTATTTTATGATTATTATAATGTGTCATCCATTTCCTTATTTATAATTTTTTTGTAGTTGTTCCAGTTTTAAACAATGGTAATTAGATATATGTGTATATATATATATATATAATAATTTGATATAATATGAGGACAAATGGTGAATTTACTTTTTATTTATATTCTCTTCACCACTGATCGCCTCGTTGGCCACTTGGGCGATCGGTCACGTCTCTGTTAAGCACTGCTGGCAAGTACTGGGCATGCACCGGCTCTTGAATGTATCTGAACCTGCTCCAGTGTTGGTCAAGTCTGGCCTTGAAAGAGATCACACTCTGTGCTGTCACAACACTCTCTGGCATATTGTTCCAAGAGTTCACAACTCGCACTTCAAAAAGCTACCCCTTATTGTAATAACAGCTACAGTATGATAATGGTGGTGCAGGCAGTAGTACAGTACATTGTACAGTACATTAATTATTGTAATAATAGCTATGATAATGATGGTGCAGACTGTAGTACAGTACATTGTACAGTACATTAATTATTGTAATAATAGCTATGATAATGGTGGTGCAGACTGTAGTACAGTACATTGTACAGTACAGTAATTATTGTAATAATAGCTATGATAATGGTGGTGCAGGCAGTAGTACAGTACATTGTACGGTACATTAATTATTGTAATAATAGCTATGATAATGGTGGTGCAGACTGTAGTACAGTACATTGTACAGTACATTAATTATTGTAATAATAGCTATGATAATGGTGGTGCAGACTGTAGTACAGTACATTGTACAGTACAGTACAGTAATTATTGTAATAATAGCTATGATAATGGTGGTGCAGACTGTAGTTCAGTACATTGTACAGTAATTATTGTAATAACAGGTGTGATAATAGTGGTGCAGACTGCAGTGCAGTACAGTACATTGTACAGTACAGTAATTATTGTAATAATAGTTATGATAATGGTGGTGCAGACTGTAGTACAGTACATTGTACAGTACAGTAATTATTGTAATAATAGTTATGATAATGGTGGTGCAGACTGTAGTACAGTACATTGTACAGTACAGTAATTATTGTAATAATAGTTATGATAATGGTGGTGCAGACTGTAGTACAGTACACTGTACAGTGCAGTAATTATTGTAATAATAGTTATGATAATGGTGGTGCAGACTGTAGTACAGTACATTGTACAGTACAGTAATTATTGTAATAATAGTTATGATAATGGTGGTGCAGACTGTAGTACAGTACATTGTACAGTACAGTAATTATTGTAATAATAGTTATGATAATGGTGGTGCAGACTGTAGTACAGTATTGGGGGTCCTCATTATCTGTGGTTAATTGGGACTAGAAAAACGCCTCTCATACCTAATCCACTTAAAGAGGAAAATTAATCCCATAAGAAATAATGGATATACTATAGGTTAAATCTGGACCATGACATAGTACACAACACAAAATAATTTTATTTTTATTTTAACAATTATTGACCAAAGAAACATTTGATAACACATTATTTTAATAAATTATTTAACTTAATAAGTTATCTAACATCCTTGAACCTTTCACTGCATCGGCCAATTTTGGTGGTATTCCCCAATAAGTGCTAAAATTCACTAAAAAATTTAATTGCTTACATTAAACAGTCCATTAAAAGTGATTGGTTACCGTGATTCAGATTGGGGTGCATCGGAAGACAGGCATAGTATTACAGGTTACAGTTATCAGTTAAATGAAGGTGGTCCATTGATTTCTTGGAAATCTAAGAAACAGAATGTTGTAGCATTGTCCTCATGTGAAGCTGAATTTATGGCTTTAACAGCAGCTATGCAAGAGGCTAATTTCTGAAGACAGTTGTTAACTGATATGCAAAATTCTAATAGAGAACCTGTAACATTGAATGCTGATAATCAGGAAGCTACTGCATTGGCTAAGAACCCTGTACATCATCAAAGGTCGAAACATATCGATATTAAGTACCATTTTATTAGATCAGACGTAGAAGATGGTAATATTAATCTGCAGTATGTTCCTGCAGAAATAATATTGTTCACTAAACCAGTATCTAAAGAGAAACTAGAGAAGTTTGGTATTATAAGAGGAGTACCTTAGTTTAAGAGGGGGTGTTAGATATAAACTAGGTTACCCCATATTTACTTGTAATTCATATTTGATTATAGTTAGTATTTAACTTTTCATTATTAGTGATTGATTGATTTAGTGTGTATTACTAATTGGTTGATGTGGAACTTATGTGAATAGGTTCTATTGTGTTTTCTGTTAGTTGTGTGATGGAGCACCACTTTGCTGCACATGTATTAGAAAGAAAAACAACGCTTGTGTCATTGTCTGAGCCTCTCGTATCATATTTCGTTGTTATCCACCAAAATGAACACTGTAATATCAACACCGAGTGCTTCTTACAAAGCGACCATGGGGATACCGCAGCATCGTGTACACCACAGAAGTTCTTGCAATTGGCCCCAAATACGAAGGGTAACTTAGGGCACCTATTATGCACATAGAATGCCCTCATTCAGCCCAAGGACTACAGTTACTGATGTTAAGGCACCGAGTGTGAACTATTTCAAGATCAGATTTGGTGCTGGTACATGTCCAGTACTTTCCAACAGTGTAACAGAGACGTGACCGATCGCCCAAATGGCTAACGAACCGATCAGTGGCGAAGGATCAAGCGAAGTTAAGTGAAGGAAATTGGTGGCTATAATGGTCTAACACTTCGTAGTTCTTATCCTAAAAATAATAAATACCATTACCTTTTACTGTAAAGGTGTAGAAGAGGGTGACCGCCAAAAGGAATTGTCTGAATTGGTTGAATTTTTTTTTCTAAACACTAGTACCATGATATTAAACACATAAATGGAAACGACAATTCATAGAACCTGACCTAACGTACCCAACCTACGGGTTTGTTAGGTCAGGTTCTATTAGGTTCTATGCATTACCTTGTTAATTTGTGTGTTAAACAACTTACCTTAATAGTGAGGTTGATATACATAAGCAATGGCGAGGAGGAATACATGGAAGAGTTCACCATCATTTAGGAAACATCTTTTGAACAGGGACTCAGCAAGATAAAGAACAAAAATGGAGCTGGGGCAGAATTGTGAAGCAGGATATAGATTGTCAGGCTCTATTAGGTTTTATGTATTGCCCTTTCCATTTATGTGTTTAATATTATGGTACTAGTGTTTAGAAAAAAAAATCAACCAATTCCTTCTGGTCACCCTCTTGTACACTCTTTACCCCTTTTGACTATCACAAAATACTCCACATACCTTCAATAATTCAATAATGTCAGTTTCAAAGTCAGCCTCACCCAGATCCATGATTAAAGGTGTGAAGATTCAACACTTGATGATCCTGCAGCAACTGACCTGGTGGAGAAAAAGGAGGCTTCTTGACCAGTGGCCAACCAGTGGTGCCATTTACAAATTTACATTCCCGCTATATAGATAATATGATAAATATAGAAAGTATGGTACATAGAAGTATAACTAATTAAGACACCCGTGGGCATAATTTAAAACACGACTTTTCATTTATTTTTAAACCTGCTGGTATTGCAAGAAAAGAATTGTCCCCATTCTGTTGGAAGTTTATTTTTCATTATATTTAACTGGCTGAATATCCGTTCTACTTCAGCATTAGAGTTGGGAATGACGAGAACTGATAAAGCAAACTCCTTGAATGGATTACTTTTTTTACTTTTATCCTCTTCACCACTGATCAGCTCGTTGGCCGCCCGGGTGATCGGTCACGTCTCTGTCACACACTGGTGGCAGTACTGGGCATGACCCGGCTCCTGAATGTACCTGAACCTGCTCCAGTGTTGGTCAAGTCTTGTCTTGAAAGAGCTCACACTCGGTGCCGTTGTAATGACCACGGTCATACACGTCAGTTAACGTAAAATTAGCCGATCCATATTACGCTCAATAGCCCACAAAACATGTAGCTATGCTTTCTTATTGAAGTTCCACATCTGAAGAGGCCGTTTTCTCAGCGCTTCAGGACGCCTGAGTCTGCCGTTTTCTCTCAATCTTCAATGTACCCGAGACTTCATTATTCCTTAGTAATGACAGAATTTGAAATTGCAACCGTGGTTGCAATTTTTTTTTTTTTACGGGAATTAGCCAACCCGGGCACAGGTCAAACGACCCACAACGGAGCCTGGGGGGTGAAAAAAAAGGAACGGAAAGAAATTGAAAATATAGAAAGAAAGGTTATACTGTATTAATCTACACCACGAAGATGCCGGAAAACCAGCTTTTTAAAGTGAGACAGATTGTATAAGTATGGAAACATAGAAGAAGGAAGAGCATTCCACAGTTTGGCTGTGTGAGGAAAGAAGGAGATACTATAACGGGTTATTCTCGTGTGACCGACATCCACAGAGAAAAGGTGGGCACCGCGGGCAAGACGTGTGTTACGAGCCCATGCCAAATCCACAGAACATTGCCCGTTAAAGTACTTGTAAACGAGAGAGAGTGGAGCAACATTGCTGTTAAGAGAAAGGGAAGAGAGATTGGCGACTAAAGGAGGAGAGATAATAAGACGAAATGCCTTTCATTCCACCCTCTCTAATAGTTGGACAGAAGAGGAGCCACCCCAGATATGAGAGCAGTACTCCAAGTTGCTGCAAGTACCAGAGAATCTGAAAAAAAAAATAGCTATACCACAGGAGGTGGGCGCCTCGAACTGGTTAACTAAGTTACCGATAAGGGCAAATGGTTTCAGTCTCAATAAATAAGAATTTACAGATGCCAATGCTCTAAGGTACGGTAGGTCAGTAGAAGGTTTGCCTTCCCAATGCGTGTGTGGCTCTTCCTATGACGTCGATCACGCCATTGTGTGCAAAAAGGGGGTTTCATATGCAAGAGGCATGACGAAGTAAGGGATCTCACAGCAAATATGTTGAAGGAAATTTGCCGTGATGTCAGGATAGAACCGACCCTCCTTCCATTGGATGATGAGATTTTCCAACATAGGACTTCAAACACATCCAACGAAGCCCGTATTGAAGTCAGTGCGCGAGGAATCAGGACGCGGGGACAGCGAGCCTTCTTCAACATCAGGATTTTTTTATCCCATGGACGCATGTCACCGTAACTTAGCTCTCAATGCTGCACACAGGAGGAACGAGAACGACACGATAAGGGCATACGGGAAGAAAATTCAGAACGTTGATCAAGGCAGCTTCACTCCTCTAGTGTTCACAACCTCTGGTGGGATGGGACCAAGTGCAAGATGCTTCTACGCCAGACTCACGGAGGTGATATCCGAACAGAAGCAGCAGCCCAGAAGTTATCTTACAGCCTGAATGAGATGTCGACTGTCCTTCTCTCTCCTTCGGTCGGCATTGCTCTGCCTCAGGGGAACGAGAGCATCGGCCCCCAAAGCCGACAACAGTTGCAGGTATTGACTATGAGGCAACAGTCACTGAATGCCGCATAGATCTGCGGCTCAACTAACTCAACACAGCCAGGGTAGCTACTTATGTATTAGGATATTTAATTTTAAGGTAATAAAATGGTGGTGAAGGTGTGGCTATTGGGGGAGGCTGGAGGCCATTAAAAAAAGTAGTAAAAGTAGTAGTAGTAGTGTGTGTGTGTGTGTGTGTGTGTAGACAGAGAAAACTGTCACACTACCATCTTCCATGATGAGGATGGCGTGAGATGCACTTAAGGCATCTTCATGTTTGGAGAAAGAGACCAAAGCGTCCAAACCTGGTTCTCTCTCCTGAAATTTCATACCAATTGCTGTATTTAGTCCAAATGTGCTAAACATGTCAGTTATTGTTTCATAATCGTAATTGGGTGGTAGCAGCTTATCGTGAATCACATTTTCTCGCTTGGTTGGTTTGGGATGTTTGGCCACCCTTGAAGGGGATGAGGGTAAACTATAAGGGCTTAAGGTGACAATTCCTGAGTCCTTATTCACATAGTCCTTTTAGTAGTCCGGGCTTGAGCTGAGGTTGGCAACATTGCTGGCAGGAGTATTATTACGAGTTCCTGAAGAGAAACATCTGTTGATGAGCCGGGATCGTTAGGGTTAGTATATGGCCTCGAATCTGTGGTTGTAAATGCCCCAAAAATAATAATAATGATAATAAAAATAAAAAATAAATAATAATAAAAAATAAATAAAAAATAAATAAAAAATAATAAATAAATCTTTCACCTTCCCCATATGATAAACCAAATAGAGGTACTAACCGGACACTCACGGTGCCACAAACACCAGAGAAGTATACTAATGGCTTTCAATGACCTGTCAACATTACCTTTGTGTTATAGGTTGCTGATGATTCCGTTAGTGCAGCTTTGCATTAATGGTCTTCATGTCAATACAGAGTTGACAAGGCACAGCTGACTGCATACTACACTACAATAAATACTACACTACACTGCAATAAACGCTACATACTACACAATAACAATGAGCACTAAACACTACAATAAGTAATACACAGACCACATCAATAAACAACAAACACTACACTACAAGAAACACTTCACACTACACTACAAGGAACACTACACTACAAGAAACACTTCACACTACACTACAACAAACACTACACTACAAGAAACACTTCACACTACACTACAAGGAACACTACACTACAAGAAACACTTCACTACAAGAAACACTTCACACTACACTACAAGGAACACTACACTACAAGAAACACTTCACACTACACTACAAGAAACACGGCACATTACAAGAAACACTTCACACTACACTACAAAAACGCACACTACAAGAAACACTTCACTACACTACAACAAACACTACACTACAAGAAACACTTCACACTACACTACAAGGAACACTTTACTACAAGAAGCACTTCACACTACACTACAACAAACACTACACTACAAGAAACACTTCACACTACTACAAGACACTACACTACAAGGAAACACTTCACACTACACTACAAAAGAGACACTACTACAAAAATACTTCTAAAAACACTTCACACTACACTACAAGAGACACTACTACAGAAAAACACTACACTACCTACAAAAACACTTCACTACTACAAAACCTGACACACAGAAACGCTCACACTACACTACAAGAAACACTACACTACAAGAAACACTTCACACTACACTACAAGAAACACTACACTACAAACACTTCACACTACTACAACACACACAAAAAACTAACTTCACACTTTACACTACAACAAACACTTTACACTACAAGAAACACTTCACACTACACTACAAAGGAACACTACTACAAAAACACTTTACACTACACTACAAACACTTCACACTACACTACAACAAACACTACACTACCAAAACACTACACTACAAGAACACTACACTACAAAACACTTCACACTACTACAAGGAACACTTCACACTACACTACAAAAAACACTACTACAAGAAACACTTCACACTACACTACAACACTACACTACAAAACACTTCACACTACACTACAAGAACATACACTACAAAAACACTTCACACTACACAAAGACACTACACTACAAAAACACTTCACTACAAGAAACGCTACACTACACTACAAGGAACACTACACTACAAAGCACTTCACCTTACACTGAAAAACACTTCACACTACACTACAAAAACACGGCACACTACAAGAAACACTTCACACTACACTACAACAAACACTACACTACAAGAAACACTTCACACTACACTACAAGGAACACTACACTACAAGAAACACTTCACACTACACTACAAGGAACACTACACTACAAGAAACACTTCACACTACACTACAAGGAACACTACACTACAAGAAACACTTCACACTACACTACAAGGAACACTACACTACAAGAAACACTTCACACTACACTACAAGAAACACTACACTACAAGAAACACTTCACACTACACTACATTAAACACGACACACTACACACTCGGCTACACAATGTTTATTTTCCCACAGCTAGCACGACCCCTCCCCCTCCCCCTCACCAGTACCATCAATCATGTCATACTCAGAATATTGGTCATTTCCTTATTACTAACAAGCAGAGTACAGTGTTGAGGACCCTTATCACTACCTACCCGCAGGTTCACCGCCACCTACCTGTACGTACACCATCACATACCTGCAGGTTAACTACCATCTACCTGCAGGTTGACCACAACCTGCCTACAGATTCACCACCACTCTCATGCAGGTTCACCAGCACAAACTCAAGGTTACCCGCCGCATCCTGAAGCTTCAATACAGCTACCTACAGGTTCACCACCACTACCTGAAGGTTCACCCCCACTACCTGAAGGTTCACCCCCACTACCTGAAGGTTCACCACCACTACCTGAAGGTTCACCCCCACTACCTGAAGGTTCACCCCCACTACCTGAAGGTTCTACTACCTGAAGGTTCACCACTACTACCTGAAGGTTCACCACCACTTCCTGAAGGTTCTACCTGAAAGCTCACCACCACTACCTGAAGGTTCGCCACCACTACCTGAAGGTTCACCACCACTACCTGAAGGTTCACCACCACTACCTAAAGGTTCACAACCACTACTACCTGAAGGTTCACCACCACTGAAGGTTCACCACCACTACCTGAAGTTCACCACCACTACCAGAAGGTTCACCACACTACTACCTGAAAGTTCACCACTACTACCAGAAGGTTCACTATCACCAATACCAGAAGGTTCACTATCACCATTACCAGAAGGTTCACCACCACTACCAGAAAGTTCACCACCACTACCTGAAGGTTCACTATCACCAATACCAGAAGGTT